CATGCATATACATACAGTCATGGATTAACTGTGGGGATACATTCTGACAAACACATCATTAGGCAATTTCTTCATTGTGCAAACATCATCGGGTATACTTACACAAACCCAGATGGTATAGCCTACTGCTCACCTAAGCTACAAACCTGTACAGCATTTGTACTAAATACTGTTAGGTGACTGTAACACAATGGTAAGTATTTGTGTATCTAACCATAGAAAAGTTACAGTAAAAATAATGTGTATAATTTTATGAAACCACTGTCATAAATGTGGTCCATTATTGACTGAAATATGAAACATAACTGTGTATAGATAAAGACAGGGCCAGGTATGGTGGGTCATGCCTGTAATCCCAACACTTTGGGAGGCCAAGATGGGTAGATCACTTAAGGCCATGAGTTTGAGACCAACTTCGCCAACATGGTGAAACTCCATGTCTCCACTAAAAATACCAAAATTAGGCAGGCATGGTGGTGCATGCCTGTAATCCCAGCTACGTGGGTGGCCAAGGCACAGGAGAATCACTTGAACCAGGAGATGGGGGTTGCAGTGAGCCAAGATCGTGCCACTGCCCTCCAGTCTGGGTGACAGAGTGAGAAAAAAAGAAAGAAAGAAAGAAATCCTTTATCTGGTACACTAATGTACTAAGCTTGTTATTTGAGCTAGATGTTATTAATTATATAATGATCACAGCCATCGTTGTGTCTATCTCAAAAACTCTCTTTTGTTTAAAGCCTAAATAGCCTAAACACTGAGATCGGGGCACTTCCCTGATATATGAGCCATGGAGCAGGAGTGCTGCAGAGACAGAGCAGGCCTGTTCTTGGTTTGCTCCCAGACTTGCTTTTGGCCAGGGAGGCTGGCCTCCACTCTACCACCCCTATCCATCACCCGAGCTCCCTTGCCTCTGGCTTACAGCTGGGGTCAGTCAGCTGACCAGGAGGCAACAGGAGGGAACAAGGGTGGAAAGACAGAGAGATGACAAGGAAGTTATTCTGCCCCTCCTCTCTTGCTGCAGCCTGGCATAGCTGTGTTCCATGTGGCCCTGTCCCTGGCCCCAAGCCATCACCAGCCTCTGATCACAGCAAACATTCTTCTTGCCCTTCAGAGCTGGGAGCAACCACTACCAGTCTGTACAGTCCCTGGTGCCTCCAGGTCCCTCGTTGGTTTATTTACCCAGCTCTATAAAATCTCTTCATTAAACTCTTTTCAGATAAACTATTCATACCTTTAGTGTTTCCTGCCAGGATTGTGATAAATAAGGACAGATGACACATGACTGGTCTTCCTCTATCTTTTGATTCCTGGATGTTATTATGTTTTGATATATTTAGAATAAACATATATATATATATATACACACACACATATATATATATATATATACATGTAAAGAGCCTTAAACATCTAACAACAACATGACCCGACCCAAAGCACTGGCAACTTGCTGGGGAATCCTAGAAGGTCACAGAAATCAGACACACCGGGGCCTATGATGGTGAAGATGTGGGACTCCATCTCCTCTATCTGTGCTCTCTGGTTCCCAGTCTCTACGACATCCCAAAGTGATTGTCTGAAAAGATAGAGATGCTTCCAGCACAGTTGTTGCATAACAAACTACACCCAAACTTGGTGGCTTAAAACAACCACCATGTCTTTAGCCCACAGATCTGTGATTGTGGCAGGGCTCAGTGGGATGGCACAGCTCTGCTCATGTGATGGAACCTGTGGTGGCTGCAAGCTGGTGCTCGAGACAGCAGCCCCCAGAGTAGCCAGCCCACTTGGACAGTGGCTCAAACCTGAGAGAGAGCCAGGCAGAAGCTGGGTTGCTCTGAAGATGTGATCAACCCAGCCTCATTCCCCCGTTGCCCTCATTTCCTCCTGTTGCCTTGCACTGGCTGACCCCAGCTGGAAGCCTGAGGCGAGGGAGCTCAGGGCAGCCTCCCTGGCCAAAAGCGAGTCTAGGGGCAAACCAAGAAGCCACACAGGTTCTTCATCTGGCCACAGTCAGAAAGGCTCAACCTGGTTAGAGGTGAGAGAACAGAGATGAAATATCTTGATCGGGAATAACAAGGCTCAGGAGGAGCCCATGGGACCATAAACGCAGTTGTGGCCAATCTAAACAAATAGAATCTGCTACAAAGACATTAAGAAAATCAATACCCAAGTGTGAGAATCAACAACACCCACTCTATGTTGCCCTGCTACGGTCATGTTGGAGTGCCCTCCCTCCCCAGGCCTGCACAACAGCAGCTAGAACGCGACTGCACACTCAGGCTGCTTTGGAGACCTCACCACCCTTACACCGTTGTACGAAGGCATTTCTGCCTTGTTCTGTACTATATCTCAGATGTCACATAAATCAGTGACAACTACCAGTTAATTGCTTCTGGAAGAAAGCTACCTGGAGTTTCATTTTTTTTCTTTGCTAGTGATGAATAATTTTCCTTTGAATTGTATTTTGAAATATGGGGGAATGTGGTCCTTTCATTTTCAAAACCTTGCATCGGTGACAAAAAGCAAAATAAAGGAGAGATCTTGAGTATCCATCACACTGGAAGCTGAGCACTGTATTCCATTGCACAGTTCCCAGAATTCCCACATGTGTGTGAAGGCATATGAACATTCCATGTCAATGTCAGTCTAAGGGCATATCTTTCTCCCCCTCCATCAGAGAGTCTTCACCAAACAAGTATTTCTGGAGTAACCTACTCTTCATCGTCAGGAACAACCTGGAATGCATGCCGGGTCCTGTGGGTGCAGAAATTAAAATGGTAGCAACTATACTGGCCACACTGAGACCTGCAGCCCAGGCTGGATCCAATGTCCAGCTAGCCTGAGGTGTGCCATTCTACAAGTCCATACATTCATGCTCATCTCCCACACAAGAGTTGCCAAACTCTGACCAGGTGCAGTGGCTCACACCTGTAATCCCAGCACTTTGGGAGGCTGAGGCAGGTGAATCACCTGAGGTCAGGGATTCAAGACCAGCCTGGGCGACATAGCTAAACTCCATCTCTACTTAAAATACAAAAACATTCACTGGGTGTGGTGGGCATTCCCAGCTACTCGGGAGGCTGAGGCAGGAGATCGTTTGAATGCAGGAGGTTGCAGTGAGCTGAGATGGCACTATTGCACTCCAGCCTGGGCAACAGAGTGAGACCCCATCTTAAAAAAAAAAAAAGAGTTGCCAAACTCTGCTCAAGGCCTCCTCTGTGATTCCAGGTTTCTTGCCTCTTGATGTGCACACAGTGGTAACCTCTCCTCACGCAATTCAACCCCCCTAAGTGCTCCTGCCCATTGCCTCATCTCCCATCTCTCCTCCCACTTCCCCTTTAATTCTCCCCTTTGGTCTACTAATGAATCAGTAACTCCAGTGTCCAGATTTGGGGAAAGCTCTTCCCAATTCCTCCCATGACTGAAACCTGGTTTTTCTCTAAGATGTCCCAAAACTTGAAGCCATCTCTAAGAGACTTTCTTCAATCTCCAATTGTCCTGGGGACCAAAAAAGCCCTTTGCCCATCTGTCTTCTGCAATCCCTGCTGGGACTTGCTCTTTCTCCTCCCAAAAGTCTCGTCTCACTGCTGACACCACGTCTCCCTCATGTCTCCCCCATGTCCCTCTGCTGTCTCCAGGGCCTGCACCTCCCTGAGGCTTGCCCAGCATTGATGCCTTCAGCTTTCTCAAGAATCCTTTGAAGAACTTTCCTTTCATAAATTCTTGGCTGCACTCAAATGGCCTTCTGCTGGGCAGGTGGCAGTAGCTACCCTTGACTCACAGAAACCCCGGCTTGCAAAGCTGTCCAAGAAACCCTCCCACCTTGCAGCCGGAGTGACAGAGCACAGGCCAAACGTGGGTACCTGGTCCTACAGAGCTGTTTAGGGTTGGTCCAACCTAAGGCAACTCTGAATTAGTACAGTTTGAGGGTACGTTTTGGGCAATGCTCCCATGTGAGACCCTAGTAAACTGGGTCTCACCATGCAGTGAGTTTGAGCCCAGACACAGAGTCTCCAGTTGGAGGAAGTCGAGCTAAGGAAAGCAGGATCTAAAAGAGGTTTTGGGTTGAAGATAAACTACTGCGGACAATCGCTAGATGGCCATGGGGTCTTGAGGTGCACCATGACCCAATGGTTAGCAGTCATGTGCAGCAGTATGTTCATTTTTACAAGCATATTCTTCTTTGTTCTGTCAAGACAGTAGTGATTGACTGTCATAGCTTAAGAGAACCTTCTGTGTAGCAAGATGATGAATCTGACTTTGTATTGTATAGATAACAAGAACCACCTGCTTGGTTCCATTGTGTATCTGATCTTTCTACTGTAACCATCTGATTTATGTTGTAACTTGCTTTTTCACAGTAAAAACTTTCTGTTCCCTTTTATTTCACGGAACAATGTATTGAACTGACGTAAGTGAGGTTTTAAGAAATGTATATAAACTGACACTGAGCAAAATAAAGTTGTTGGTGAAGCATAGACTTCTCAACCCTCCAGACCCCAGCCGTCTATCATCTTTGTCTTCCACGCACCCCCCTATCCAGGTTGGAACCCTCTTGCTGGACAAGAGTTCCTGGTAGATGTGCCCCCCAGAATACATGTCTGAAGTCATCAGACAGCCTCAGCCCTGCTCCCAAAACAACCCCTTTGCAGTGCCTCCATCTCCCCTTGACAGTGCCCTGGGATGCTGTCTACTGCTCAGCATGGCGCTGTGCAAAACTCACAGTCCATTCACTTGTATTAGTACATGTGTTGAAATGTGTTCGTATGGATGAAAAATAAATTCCCTTTTAAGATTGAGGGAAAACTTAATAAATAAATAAATAAATTCCAGTGCAGGGTTTTCACACACAGCATAATGAAGCCTCTGTAAGATGGTAACAAAGTCATTAGCTAAAAATGCTCTGCATAGTGGGGGCTGAGGAGGCAAGAGAAATCAGTAGCTGAGATTCTACATAAAAAACATCTGTTAAGACTGAGAGACCAGGCCTTGCTGCTTACAGTGGCATCTCCTGGGAGCTTGTGAGTAAATGCAGAGATTCAGCTCACCCCTGAGCTGTTGAATCAAAACCTTCATTCAACGATGTCCCCAGGTGATTCACGTCCACATTAGTTTGATGAGCACAGGCCGGATGACAGAGAAGGCAGGAGGAGGGAGCGTGTGTACAGCATCATTGACATATAACTCCATCTAAGAAAAAAAAATCCAGGTTATGTTTCAAAAGGCAACTTGCCAGTGGAACCAGATGTTTTGCCTTGATAAATAAAGACTGTATCCAACCAGATAAGGACATAACTGAACATACTCTTCCACTGTCAGCCCTCACCAGAGGACTCTGTGGCTATTAAAAGAGCAAGATTTCAGCAGATTAAAACAGCACTCTTTTTTTTTTTTTTTGAGGTGGAGTCTCACCCTGTTGCCCAGGCTGGAGTGCAATGGCTCGATCTTGGCTCACTGCAACCTCCACCTCCCGGGTTCAAACAATTCTCCTGCCTCAGCCTCCCAAGTAGCTGGGATTATAGGTGTCCACTACCATGACCAGATAATTTTTGTATTTTTAGTAGAGCCGGGGTTTCATCATGTTGGCCAGGGTGGTCTTGAACTCCTGACCTCATGATCTGCCTACCTTGGCCTCCCAAAGTGCTGGGATTACAGACTTGAGCCACTGTGCCCGAGTCTAAAACAGCCATCTTAATAGACACGGTCTTGCTGTCACTCCTGATCAGCACCCAGCATCTGCCACTGAACGTTCTACCTGCCTCAGACTCTTCCTTGAAAAACTGGTGGGTCTCCTGGGCCACACAAGGATATTCTTTTTGTTTACATTGCTCTCCTTGGATGGTTCATTAGCCCGTACCTAGCTCCTTTTTAAACAATTTGGCCAGACGCAGTGGCTCACACCTGTAATCCCACCACTTTGGGAGGCCCAGGTGGGTGGATCACCTGAGGTCAGGAGTTCAAGGCCAGCCTGGCCAATATGGTGAAAACCTGTCCCTACCAAAAATACAAAAATTAGCTGGGTGTGGTGGTGGATGCCTGTAATCTCAGCTACTCAGGAGGTTGAGGCAGTAGAATCTCTTGAACCCAGGAGGCAGAGGCTGCGGTGAGGCAAGATTGCGTCATTGCACTCCAGCCTGGGCAACAAGAGTGAAACTCCATCTCAAATAAATAAATAAATTTTAAATATTTTGTAGAAATGGGATCTCATTATGTTTCCCAGGATGGTCTCCAGCATTTGAATTCAAGTGATCCTCCTACCATGGCCTCCCAAAGTGCTGAGACTACAGGCATGAGCCATCATACCCAGTCCCATCCCCTTTCTTTTGATACTAAATGTTACTTTGTTGTGGAATGTTTACTCTGTAACATTTTTCTATGAAGTATACCATTATGTTCCATTTACAACATTGACTGACTTGTGGAGTGGCTTGAGCCTGTGTGCCTACAGCTCTAATACTGGGAATTGCCTCCTTAGGAACCCATGTAGCTTGTGGCTTTTATGATTGAAATATCATCAATAACAGTCTGACATCATGGAAAACATAAACATGGGTGGACCTGGTTATCTCTGACCTTGTACCACTCACGAGAGGGTTAGTGGGAACCCCCAGAGAAGAAGGAGGCTCAAGGGTCTGACAGGAGCATTGGCAGCCCTGAAAAACCATAGTCTGCACAGGTCATACCTGCACTCAGAATACTTTTAGGAGCACCCCACCTGTCCACCCTCATTCCTACAGGCTGAGAAAAGCCATGGGGAGCTGAGCAGGAGTCTCCCTCACCACACTCTGACATCAAATGTATAGTGTTTATTCCATGCCAATTCTCTAACTTGTTGACACCAGCCAGTGTCAATTCAATTCTGGCACTATCTACCTGGAGATAGCACAGACCTCACAAGTTAAGAGTTGTGCTGCACGAGACTGCTGCCCCCTTCAGATGCCAGTCACAAGTCCCAGACCTGTACCTCTGACTAGCCATAAATCGGGGGTTCTTGCAACCTTTCCTTCAGTTTGATAATTTGCTGGTCGGACTCAGAACTTGGAAACATTCGTTAAGTTTATTTACTGATTTGTTATAAAGCCTACAACTCAGGAACAGCCAGATGGGAAAGCGGCATGGGGCAAAGGATGTAGGAAGAGGCTGGAGCTTCCATGTCCTCTTTGAGTAACCAGCTCCCAGCACCCATATGTTCGCCAGCCCAGAAGCTCTCTGAATCCCGTCATTTAGGGAGGTTTCATTAGGAGGTTTGATTATGTAGGTATAATTGATAATCATTGGCAATGGGTTATCAGCTCAAACACCAGCTCCTTTCTCTTTAATCCTGCCTTGGTCTTCTGGCCACCAGCCCCGATCCTGAAGCTACCTGGAACCCCAGGCCCCAGTCCTTTCTTTAGCATACAGACACTCCTATCCCTCAGGACACTCCAAGGGTTTTAGGAGCTGTGTGCCAGGAACTGGGGCCAAAGACCAAATATTCACCTTTTTATTATATCAGAGGTCACTCCATGGTCTTTGACCATGGATACCTTATTGTGAAGGATCAGAGAAGTCAAAAGACATGGACACATTACCAGAAACGCCTTGAGTCAAAATAATTCATCCAGTCTATCAAATTGTATGAAAGTATCTTCCAGGTTTACAGGCTGCCATTCCATCTTGTCAGCTTCTGGAAACAGGTGTGGTCTCTGCAAATATTGCTTTGCCCTTTCAAGCCTCTGAACTAAGAGACATTATCATCTCTTGCTCTGAGCCATTTTCAAAATATTAATATGACATTGGGTTTCCCTTGTTACATAACCTATTTATTCATTTCTTTACTTTTACCTACTATTCCTCCTCCTTTTCATTTATACCCAAACTTTTCCACCCTGGATTGAAGGGGCATTCAGTTCAGCAATTGCGCTAGTCCAGATTGCAGGTAGCAGTATAATCTAGCAAGAGCCTTCTCCTCGGTCCACTCCCATTCAGAGAGGGTAAGGTTACACAGGCACAGGACGAGTTGGCTACTTTCACCATTAGGCAAGATAGCTGCATTCACCATTAGCCCCAATTTCTCAAATGGGATGAAGGCACAGCCTACCCCATCAGGCCTTTTGGAATTCTGTCATAATCTTTAGAAATACAGTTACAAGGGCTGGGTGCAGTGGCTCACATCTGTAATCCTAGCACTTGGGGAGGCTGAGGCGGGCGGATCAAGATGTGAGGGGATCAAGACCATCCTGCCCAACAGGATGAAAACCCCGTCTCTATTAAAAATACAAAAATTAGCCAGGCATGGCGGCACGCACGCACCTGTAGTCCCAGCTACTCAGGAGGCTAAGGTAGGATAATTGCTTGAACCTGGGAGGAGGAAGCTGCAGTGAGCCAAGATCACGCCACTGCACTCCAGCCTGGGTGACAGAGCGATACGCTGTTAAAAAAAATAAATAAATAAAAATAAATTAAAAAAAATATATATATATAGTTACAGCTGCTTGTTATTCAGGAACCATCCCTGCTGTAGTTGCAGCCCGATCCTGTGACCATTACATCCGGTGGGGAAAAAAATTAAGGTGAGGTGGAGAAGAAAGACAAGGTTATAGTTGTTATACCAGTATACTTCTCTCTTGGCAAGAATTGCATAGACCTACCAGGGTCGTCCCCACCCCCTTCTCCCCAGATCTACAGAAAGAAAAATACCAGCTGAGCTTGGTGGCTTACGCCTGTAATCCCAACACTTTGGGAGGGTGAGGTGGGCAGATCCACTGTAGCCAGGAGTTTGAGAGCTGCCTGGCCCACATGATGAAACCCCATTTCTATAAAAATACAAAAATTAGTCAGGTATGGTGGTGGGCGCCTGTAGTCTCAGCTACTTGGGAAGCTGAGGCAGGAGAAACACTTGAACTAGGGAGGAAGAGGCTTGCAGCCTGGGAACACTGCACTTCAACCTGGACAACAGAGCAAGGCTCCATCTCAAAAAAAAAAAAAAAGAGAGAGAGAAATATTTACTGGAGTCATTCTTTTTTTTCTTTTTTTTCCAAGACAGGGAATTGCCCGGGCTGTATTGCCCAGGCTGGAGTACAGTGATGCAATCATGCCTCACTGGAGCCCCGGCCTCCTTGGCTCAAGTGAGCCTCTCACCTCAGCCTCCCAAGTAGCTGGGACTACAGATGTGCACCACCATGCCTGTCTATATTTTTAAAAGAATTTTGTTGAGATGGGGTCTCATTATTTTGCCCAGGCTGGTCTCAAACTCCTGGGATCAAGTGATCTCCCCTCCTCAGGCTCCCAAAATGCTGGTATTACAAGTGCAAGCCACCGCACCCAGCCACATACACTCTTTTAGTATTTCTCATGTTGAGTGTGAGCACACACTGAAGAAAGTGTCTCAGGCAACGTTTCATGTTTTTATCTCCCCCTTGTATTAGACAATCAAGGTTTTAATTGCTTGTTCCACTTTTCTATCAAACTATTACTCCAAGGCAGATGTCTCCCCACCCATTGCTGGATGTAAGGACTGTACTGTGTCCTTGGTCTGAAGAAATTACCATCAGCTGTCCAAATCTGGGCAGTTTTCTCTTCTGTTCTTTCTATAGCACTCTGAGCACTTACATCTTCTACCAGGTAAGCAAAGCCCAGTGCAGAGTCAATGTCTATTCCTCTTAGGACCTATTCATAGCCCCCAGGGCTACTACGTCAGTCTCACTTGACAGTTGTGCTTGAGCAGAGCTCAAGCCCCTCTCGACTGACCAGCAAAGAGTTGCACGGTGTGTTGATGACAGTTCCAAGGTGATCGGACTTTCTGGAAACATGCCCTGGGGGGGCCTCCCCACTAGGGAATCTGCCCCGTAGCCGTTTGCAGTCTCTGTCTCTTTTGCTTGCAGACAGAGCAGTTCTATCAGCATTCTGTGCTCGAGAGAGTACAAGAAGAATGTGTCTAGATTCAATCCATCTCTGCACTACTGAAGTCCTCCCCCAATCCAGTCATTTTATGGACCCAGATGACCACCTCAAGTGAGTACATGGGGATACCTGCTTGTCAATTACAGTCACCTTCTGGACCTGGAAGTTCAAAGTATCCATTCTTCTGATAGCCTCTACATGTCTTACTTTAGTGGAGCCCTCAAATTCCCATAGTGGCCAGGCACAGCAGCTCATGCCTATAATCCCAGTACTTTTGAAGCGAAGGCAGGCGGAGCAGTTAGACTGTTGTAAAAAAGAAAGAAAGAAGGAAAGAAGGAAAGAAAGAAGGAAGAAAAGGAAAGAAAGAAAGAAAGAAAAAGGAAGGAAGGAAGAGAGGGAGGGAGGGAGGGAGGGAAAGAAAGAAAGAAAGGAAAGAAGGAAGGAAGAAAGAAAGAAAACAAGGAAGGAAGGAAGGAAAAAAAATAAATTCCCGTAGTGAGTTCCATAGAACCATGCCCCATACAAGTATCTCTTTAATAGGACAGGTTTCCATGGCCTCCTGCCTGACCATTTGGCCAGGCCATTGGCCATCACCCATGAATTGGTAAAAACTGAAACATACAGGCTCTTACCACTCTTCAACTCTTCCATCACTGCTAGAAATCCAACCCACCGAGCTGATTTGTTTTTACCTTCTTCAATCAGAGGGGCATGTTTCCAGACAGTCTGATCACCTTGGAACTGTCATCAACACACCATGCAACTCTTTGCTGGTCAGTCGAGAGCAGTTTATTTATAGAGCACTGTTCATGTGATAAAAGAATCTGGCTGCTCCTAATGCGATTTCTGAGTCAGTCCTGGGGAAAAGAGGCTCCCTGTTTGTGAGTTTCTGCAGCACAATCCTGTGTAAACCACTTTCATCTTATTATGGAGCTCCTCTGAGCACTGCCATCCGCACTAGAATGTTTCTCTGACATCACATAGGACATTGTGGGTATTTTCGGTTTCCAGATTATTTTATGTCCTTTTGTCATAGGGGTGGCTCCATTAATGTCTGATAGCAAGCTAGTAAATGCCCCCAAGTGGAAATTCACTGGTCCAAAGCCCAGTGGGTGTGACTGGGATTCTTCTCCAGGCTTTCTCCATTGGCCCCACTTTCCACTCCACACAGGGGTATCCCACCATGAGTCCGTCTCTCCCAGCACTCCAGCTTCTACTCTGCACCGTGTGGGCTCAGGCAGTCTTTCTGCTCCCCACATAGCGTGTCCAATTAATACTGCTTGAAAAGCAAGTGTAATGCCTTCTGTTTTGTAGCAGCAGTTCCCCAGTAAGATACCAGTCCATCTCCATAGGATGTTCCGGTAAAAGAGATACAGCAACTTCAAACATACCAATTTTTACTCTTACTTTCACCTTAATCTCATCAATCCTGCTCTTCCTAAGTGAAGCCTTCATTAGGACCTCCCCAACAATTTTTGGTTTTACAACACTAGGTAGAGGAGGCCTTCCACAGTCAGCCATGATATTCACTCCCATAAAACACTCAGGAAAGAGACACACCCTCTTCACATTCAGCCTGTTTCACACTCCGATGTTCATGCAATCTTTCACCCTAATGCTCCCAGTCCTTACATTTCTATATTCTCTCAGTATCATTGCCGCTGGGTTAAGCTTCACCAACAAGCACTGGTCCCACAGTGCAGGGGGCTCCCTTATCAAGGTGTCCCTGACTCTCCCCTCTGCCTTTCCTCATTCACTTATTAATTAACCCAGTATTTTTATTAGCACCTGTAAGACCCATGCAAGGAAGCTGAAACAGAAAATTTGATAAGGCTTCTGGAACTTTCCCTCCATTTTCAATAGCGAGGTCATATGGGGTGTCCACATAAAGGAGCTCCCTGAACCACAGCATTTACCATGACGTGGGTAACAGGCGTAATCAGCGGCTGAGTATCCCATCATAAGCTAATCCCACATGGCTTGCATTTGAAGCATGTCAGCTGTGGTGCTCCACTTGGCATTGATAGGGGAGTCAGGCAAGCCCCCTTTTCAGAATAATTAGATCTTATAGTGGCTTTTATCCAGTCCACCAAGCTGGCTCTTCCCTTGGGAATAACCTCCTGTGTGTCTGAATCATGTACAGCTATCTGTGATTGTTCCATAGTGAGCTGTGGGTCCTGTATCAACCCACGCATGCTCTTCCACTCTGCAGTATTCAAAAACAAAGATACTGCCCCTAAATTAGTTATTCTCAGAATTCGGGTTGGTAAAGGCTCATCAAGAAGCTAATGATACTGATTCACAAAATGAGTCAGTTCCGTGCTCTGTAACTCCTGATCTCAGTAGTTACTGTTTTTTTTCCCACCACCCTCACTACCTTCTTCGTGACCATAGGTCTTAGAAGGACTCTTTTTGTCCCCTCATATTTCTTCTCTCGAGAGGTGCCCTGAAACTAGTGACTAAGCTCAGGCCAACCCAAATCTGACCCTGGTCCAGCCTCAAGGTCCACCCGGCACTCTCATTTACTTTCATTTTAGCTAATACAGGTTAGCAATAACCGAGAGATTGTATATTTTGCTTTTTTCTTATTATTTTGCATTTCTTATGATTCCAGTGAATCAGTTCCCCGGGAGTTGGATGCATCTCTAAATTCCACTGGTAACTTTCACCTTTAGTAACTGATTGCAGCACAGCTATGGCTCCATATCATGGGTGACCACACGGCCACCCAGGAATCAAAGGTTCCCCACCCCATACCCTTTTACCCTTTCTCTTCCCAAACCATATGCTTCTATGAGCCAGTGCCTTTCTATCAAATCCCACTTTTTTTTTTTTTTTGAGACGGTGTCTCATTGTTGCCCAGGCTGGAGTACAACAGTGTGATATCGGCTCACTGCTTACTCTGCCTCCCAGGTTCAAGCCATTCTCCTGCCTCAGCCTCCCAAGTAGCTGGGATTACAGGTGCCTGCCACCATGTCCAGCTAATAGTTTTGCATTTTTAGTAGAAACCAGGTTTCACTATGTTGGCCAGGCTGGTCTCAAACTCCTAACCTTGTGATCCACCCACCTTGGTCTCCCAAAGTGCTAGGATTACAGGTGTGAACCACCACGCCCAGCCTGATGCAAATCCCACATTTTTGACACCAAAAGGAGCAAGGATTTTCCCCACCACACTTCTGATGTCACATGTGTGGTGTCTTTTCCAGCACCATTTCTCCAAGTCTCCTACATCAACTGGGTGTCCTACAATGAATTCTACCCAGTTCTGAGACTATCTTCCTGGAAGTGGCAGGAGATCCCACAAGTTAAGGGTGCAGCCCCACATACTGTCTCCATCCCCACTTCACACACCAATCACAAGTCCTGGGTCTCCTGTACTTTTGACCAACTAACTGGCTATGAACTGAGGTTTCCACGACCCCTCCTCAGCTTTGGTAATTTGCTAGAATGACTCGCAGAACTCAGGAACACGCTTTACCAGCGTTATATAAAGGATACAACTCAGAAACAGCCAGATGGAAGAGATGTGGAAGGCAAGGTATGCGGTGACGCGGAGGCCTCACACCCTCTCCAGGTGCCCCACCCTCTCGGCAGCTCCAGGTTTCAGGTGTTCATCCACCGGTAAGCTCTCTGAACCCCGCTGTTTAGGGAGTTTGTGGAGTCTTCCTTATGTAGGTGTGAGTGACTAAATCATTAGTCATTAGTAATTAAGCTCAACCTCCAGACCCCATCCTTTCCACAGAGTCAAAGACCACTTCCTTTTTAACTTAGGATTATGAAATGAAAATATCTTTAAAAAATTTTTTTTGAGACAGAGTCTTGCTCTGTCACCCAGGCTGGAGTGCAGTGGGATGATCTCGGTTCACTGCAACCTCTGCCTCCTGGATTCAAGATATTCTCCTGCCTCAGCCTCCTAAGCAGCTGGGATTACAGCTGTACACCACCACACCAGCTAATTTTTGCATCTTTAGTAGAGATAGGGTCTCCACCATGTTGTCCAGGCTGGTCTCAAACTCCTGACCTCAAGTCACCCATCCGTCTCGGCCTCCCAAAATGTTGGGATTATGGGCATGAGCCACTGCACCCAGCCAGGAAAATACCTTGGGCCCCCAAAATCACTAAGCTAAAGGGAAAATTCAAGCTTTTATCTTTGTTTTTGGCCTACCTTAAATGTCTAGATTAACTTAGAGAGAGAGATATCCTTGCCATGCTGTCTTTCTGTCTCAGAATGGAAAATGTTTCTTCATTTACTCAGGTTCTGTGTCTGTTCCTCTGTTCACTTGAAGCTTTTCTCTGGGTACTCCTGTACATCTCCAGGTGTGTATTCTGAGATACTTCTTCTCCTTCTTTCCATGCTAAATGAGACTCTCTTCCATCAGTGTTTGAGGACTGTTGCTTCAGGTAGGAAGCATTTTGGCAAATTATTACTAGAGAGCCCATCTTAGCGAAGAGTCTGCCTGCTGCTCACCCCAGAATCCTGTGTGCATGCTCAACCTCCTGTGACACCCTCTTCTTGTCACCTAGTCCCCGTGTAGTGAAAGGGTGGTGATGCCCAGGACACAGGGACTGCCCCAGGATCAACTGGACCCAGCCCCTCCAACCCCTTTCCACCAACTACTTCATCACCTTTCACACTGAAAAGTCAAATCAATATTTGTGGACTGCAAAGTCTCATTTCTGAGAGGTATGTCTTTTTTTTTTCCTTTTGTCTTTTTTTTTGGAGACAGGGTTTCACCATGTTGGCCGGAATGGTCTTGATCTTATGACCTCGTGATCCACCCACCTCAGATTCCCAAAGTGCTAGGATTACATTTTTGTTGTTGTTGTTGTTGAGATGGAGTCTCACTCTGTTGCCCAGGCTGGAGTGCAGTGGCGCAATCTGAGGTCACTGGAAGCCTTCCAGGTTCATGCGATTCTCCTGTCTCAGCCTCCCAAGTAGCTAAGATTACAGGCATGTGCCACCATGCCCACCTAATTTTTTGTATTTTTAGTAGAGACGGGGGTTCACCATGTTGGCCAGGCTGGTCTCAAACCCCTGACCTCAAGTGATCTATCCGCCTCGGCTTCCCAAAGTGCTGGGATTACAGGCATGAGCCACCATGCCCAGCCCTTTGCTAGTTTTGGGGATCTTCCTTTCAAATACTGAGAATATCCTGGGTAAAAAGGGACAATTAAAGGGAAGGAGACCTAGACTGCACCTCTCAGGGAGGATGTGGCCAGGTCACGCTGTAGGAATACACATGGGATGGGAGACATTTCTATAGCTATCTTTGGAAAATGCAGCATCAGGAAGGGAAAGCGTCAACAGAGACAGGAGACAGGGCCTTGGAGACTTGCCTGGTTCCCAGGAAGGTCACTGGTCACAAAAAGAGAAAGAAAAGGGTGTCAGAGATACATGTAAAAGCAAATGCCCCAACAAGACCAGACGGCCACATAAAAAAGCATTCCAATTCACAGTGAAGTTAGTGCACCTACGCATTTACAGATCAATCTTTATTACATATACATTTACAGTCAAATAGCTTATGACAACAATACAGATCTTAAGGCGGTTTCAAGGATTTCACAACAAAGTTTTGCAGTTTACTTCAGTGGTACCCATTAATTACACATTTGGTTATATTTGGCTGTATTTGGAAAAGTTCCTCAAGGAAGGAAAAAAAGACTTTTAAGATATTCCCCTCAGAGGCTGGGTGTGGTGACTCACGCCTGTATTCCCAATACTTTGGGAGGCTGAGGCAGGCAGATCAAGAGATCAGGCATTCAAGGCCTGACCAGGCCTGACCAACATAGTGAAACCTCATCTCTACTAAAAATACAAAAATTAGCTAGCCTGGGCAACAAGAGCAAAACTCAGTCTAAAAATAAATAAATAAAAGCCTGGTGCAGTGGCTAATGCTTGTAATCCCTTGTAATCCCAGTGCTTTGGGAGGCCGAGGCAGGCAGATCACCACCTGAGGTCGGGAGTTCAAGACCCATCCTGACCAACATGGAGAAACCCTGTCTCTTCTAAAAATACAAAATTGGCTGGGTATGGTGGCACATGCCTGTAATCCCAGCTACTTGGGAGGCTGAGGCAGGAGAATCGCTTGAACCCGGGAGTTGGAGGTTGCGGTAAGCCAAGATCATGCCATTGTACTCCAGCCTGGGCAACAAGAGGGAAACTCCTTCTCAAAAATTAATTAATTAAAAAAAAAACAAAAAAAACAGCAAAGTGTCCCCAGCAAGCTGGAATAGCTGGGCACCTGACTGCAGATCTGGGTGGGTTCAGGATGGCTTCAATCAAAAGAACAGACATTGTTGAGTTCCAAAGCTGGGTCATAAAAGCCTGGAAGAGGCTTCCTCCAGGGTCTCCTATGTCTTAGTCATGTTTTTTGGTCTTCTGTATAATTTTTTATTTTTTTTTTTAGAGATTGGGTCTTGCTATATTGCCCAGGCAGGTCTGGAACTCCTGGACTCAAGCAATCCTCCCACCTAGGATTACAGGCACGTGCCACCACGCCCAGCTCTTTTATAATGTTTTGACATCTGAAAAACCTGGCTAGCCAAGGAGAGACTGCCTTTCCAGGGGTTAGATCATTCTTAGAGCTAGCCAAGGGCTTTGCTGAGACCTCGCTTTTTCTATACAAACCAACCAATTCCAAGTCTATACTCCCGCCACCCCCTTTATCTTACTCTCACACAAGCCAATATTTCTCCTGCCCTAAATCATCCAAGAGCTGGGTGCCAGGCAACTAGAGGCAACCCCTAAAGCCCAAAGCCTGCTGGAATCATTCAGACTGTTTCTCCTGCCCTCCCCTGCCATTCTCACAGAAGCCCCAGTAAAAGCTCTGGCCTCAGCTTCCCCCTCACTTCTGCTCCCGCCTCTCAACCAAAACCTGGCACTCAGTTTGCGGTGGTCTGCCATAAGCAACAGAAAGCAGAACAACGTGCAGCTTGGAGGGTCTGGAAAAGCCAGTTCTCCTGATTCCATCCCGGGATTTTCAGATGGTGCTTTTTCAGGAACTAGAGGTTCTTCCAGCACTCAGGACCACACAGGATGAAAAGTTGGGGGAAAACACCTGTCCCCACCACCTTCCAACCAGAATAGCTGCAGTTTTCATCTGATTTTCACCCTGTTTTGATTACTTCTGAGAGAAAAAAAAGTCCCATTAAGAAAGAGATTCTCTGGATTCTGAGCATTCTTCGGCTTGAACAAAGCTGGAATGCGCCTCAATTAAAAAAAAAAATTAGAGAAGGAAACTGAGGGCCACAAGGGGAGGCCCCAGACCTGGAGGCCAGCTCCAAATAACAGAAACAGTTCTGGTCCACTTGCAATTTTTGTTATTTCACGCCCGGGTGACCCATTTTATCCCACAAATCAAGAGAAGAAACAAGCTTTGTTCCTGCCTTCTAAATTTAACCCGCTAGGCTGGCAACTAAACTGTGCTAGGCGGTCTCCAAGCAATACACCTGTGTTTCTCATTACGTCTTTCATTTCCATGGTTTCAATCCTTGCCCACCTCAGGAACCAATTTCCTTATCACATCTGAATAACTTCAGTGGTGAGCCAAAAAACAACCAGGATATTCACACTGAAATTCACAGCATTCAAAATCTAATTTAGTGATTCTCTTTGTGTATTATTTTCCGAACAAGAGGGGGCCTAATTACAACAGACTCACACAGATCGCTTAATATCTAGTACTAGGCACTTACTGATAAGACATCACATGAAAAGCACGTTGGAATACAGCTGATGGGTCCATTGGCATGGGCGATACTCAGAAATACCCACAACTATCAAATTGCTCGGATACCTCAAAGCATATTCATTCAATAAATTTTCAGAACTTTTTTTTTTGAGACAGAGTCTTGCTCTGTTGCCCAGGCTGGAGTGCGGTGGCGCTATCCCAAGAGCACTGCAACTTCCATGGCGCTATCCCGAGAGCACTGCAACTTCCATCTACCAGATTCCAGTGATTGTCCTGCCTGAACCTCCTAAGTAGCTGGGATTACAGGCATGTGCCACCATGCCTGGCTAATCTTGTTTTTTTTGGTATTTTTAGTAGAGACAGGGTTTTGAGATCGGATTCTCACTCAGTCACCCAGGCTGGAGTGCAATGGTGCGATCTCAGCTCACTGCAACCTCTGCCTCCTGGGTTCAACGATCCTCTTGCCTCAGCCTCTCAAGTAGCTGGGATTACAGGCATGTACCACCATGCCCAGCTAGTTTTCATATTTTCAGTAGAGATGGGGTTTCACCATGTTGGCCAGGCTGGTCTCGAAACCCTGACCTCAGTTGATCTGCCCACCTCAGTCTCCCAAAGTGCTAGGATTACAAGCATGAGCCACTGTACCTGGCCAGAAAGTCGCTAATTTCTAAGCAGAAGCTAGAAGAGGATGAAAACAGTGCGCTGTTTGGCAAAGAAATACTTTAGACTTAATGAAGTATCTTATATTAAACACAATCTCCCCTTTTCCTAGGGCACCCTTTCGAACAGTTGCTGTTTCTCTGTCACATGGTCGTGATGTTTTCATAAACAGCAGAGGTTTATTTGCTGCCTTCATCTCGTAATGGGACATAGAAAGTCATGGAGAAGGAGTGCTTTGGCCAAACAGAACGTGGAGTGATGGTTCTTGGGCCTAAATGGAAACAGCCCATGCCTGGGTGCTATTAGGAAACTTCACATGCATTGACTGGATAAACAAGAAATACAGAAGTGCCTCTCCTTCTATTCAATATTCTAGAGCCTCAGCCATAAGTCACCATACCTCACACAAGGTCAAAGAATCTTGTAACACACGGATTAGTCAACATTTGCATGAAGACAGATCCCTGCAAAAAATATTCTCCAGAACCCTGCACCCCCACGGTAGCCCTGTTGGGTGGTCAGGCTGCCAAAAGGAAAGAGATCAAGCTTACTTACTGCGTCCGTGTCCAGAGGTGGAGGCAGAGCGGTCACCCCGGAACCAGTGGGTTATTTCCCTACCTCCCTTTCATACTTGTTCCTTGCTGCCTCTCGGGCTGACAGCAGGCCTAAGCCCGAGCTTGCCAAAGTGCCTTTGGCCATTTCATCACTTCATCTTTATTTTATGATTTTTTTTAACACAGAGTCTTGCTCTGTCACCCAGGCTAGAGTGCAGTGGCATGTTCTCAGCTCACCCAAACCTCCACCTCCCGGGTTCATGTGATTCTCCTGCCTCAGCCTCCCAAGTAGCTGGGATTACAGGCAAGTGCCACCATGCCTGGCTAATTTTGTATTTTTAGTAGAGACAGGGTTTCTCCATGTTGGTCAGGTTGGTCTCAAACTCCTGACCTCAGGTGATTCACCCACCTCAGCCTCCCAAAGTGCTGGGATAATAGGCATGAGCCACTGCACCCAGTTCTTCATACTTATTCTAAATGTGAACAATTTCATATCTGTATAAAGTAGACATTTGAATGACAACCTGAAAATGATTTCAGTTTTAAATTTTAACTGCTGTGTAAATCCATGAGTCTTTGGATATCATGGAGAAATTCAGTCTGGTCTTATTAATGGAAATTCCTTGTGATTCTACATTTTACTTATTTGACCCCAAATCCTTTTTTTCTTTTTCTTTTCTCATTCTTTCTTTCCTTTTCCAAGTATTTCTCAGAACTAGCATTTCAAAGTTTCAGGAAACACGTGTCAGGAATCATTAGCTCAGAATAAAATCCTCGAAGCCCAGCTCAGTTCTTCTACAAATTATTTTATTTTATATTTTTAATTGCATTTTAGGTTTTGGGGTACATGTGCAGAACATGCAAGATAGTTGCATAGGTACACACACGGCAGTGTGTTTTGCTGCCTTCCTCCCCTTCACCCACATTTGGCATTTCTCCCCAGGCCATCCCTCCCCATCTCCCCCCACCCGCTGTCCCTCCCCTATTCCCCCCAACAGACCCCAGTGTGTAGTACCGCCTTCCCCGTGTCCATGTGTTCTCATTTTTCCTCACCTGCCTATGAGTGAGAATATGTGGTATTTCATTTTCTGTTCATGTGTCAGTTTGCTGAGAATGATGTTCTCCAGATTCATCCATGACCCTACAAAGGACACGAACTCATCATTTTTGATTGCTGCATAATATTCCATGGTGTATATGTGCCACATTTTCCCAGTCCAGTGTATCATCGATGGGCATTTGGGTTGGAACTGAGTCCTAATAAGTTGTAGAAAACCACCATGAACTTCTACAACTTATTAGGACTCAGTTCAGACCTTTTCTGTCTTTCACTTCCAGCTTCTCCTGACCAATAGCTTTTCTAATGCCTTGGCATATACACAGCCTTAACTAAACACTTCTGGAGGTATTCTCCAGCTCTCCGGAGCACTGGACTTGTCAGCTCAGCA